ATATTAAACTGCAGCGCCCCGAGACTTCCCATAGGGTGAAAGAAGGCAGTAAGTGAGGCTGGATACCTGTATTCCGAAGAGAACAGAACAAATTGACCTGACCATGGCCCGAAGGCCAGCCCACGAGTACAAGGGTCAGACAAGCCCTAAAGTGACCGCCGAACGTCCGGTATTCACATAAACAAAGCATTACATATACATCTCCGGGATCCCCTTTTGGGATGTGTGTATCCGACACGAGGAAAGGGAATAAGACTGCTGAAACAGGCTAAAAATTATCTTCCTCTTCTCTTCGGCAAGAACAATGTGACCACTCAACTCTGGTGAATCCGTTATAGTTGAGGCGTTATATGGCTTTTATCTGGACGTATCTAGCATGATCTAATGTGAGACACCTAGTATGGGTCGTAGATATAACTAATAATTAAACAATGAACAAACAACAAATTTAGGCACATTGATTGTCGAGTGGTGAGTGTAACATCTGAGTCTTCAACTCCAATGATGCCCGATTGCCCTTATTCAAAGGGAGAGGCTTTGGCTTGGCTCGAAAACCAATCAGCCTGACAGAAGTAAGGTACCTCCCAGAGACTGCAGCTAATGTAGTCAGATGCCATAAAGACTAATTCTTATGATTTTTTGTAACTTATACGGGTTTCGTGCTTGGAGTTGCAGACACCCTTTGCGCTTTTCAGTGTTACGGTGACCATAACCTAACTCTCCAGTGGTCTACTCTCGCCTTCTTACTCTCAAAGGGAACCCAATTCCCCTTTTAGAATAATAACAACCATCAAGTTCTGAGTTTATTTTATCACTAACACCTCTGCCTCAGCAGAACCAATCGGAATTGGCTTTACTGTTCAACGGTATCCAAGGCCTTGTTTAGTATGCTCACCGCATCAATCGGTTCGCTGATGCACCTTCTAGGTCATCAGACAATCTCAATTCGACGGCATTCGCTTTCAGTATACACAAGCCTAGATCATGATTGAACGCTTCTTGGAGTAATCTAGTGAGCGATTCCAGTGGCCATAACCAACCCTCTCGACTCACTGAAGGCCCACACTGAAAGCATGCAAACATAGCCAAAGAAATTTTAGATTCGAAATTTCTAGAAATCGTTATCAAAAGCCTTCTTAGCCTTATTGAGTTCTTCACTGAGTAAGAGGAGTTCCTTCGCCCGGGAAAACTTTCGTGGATCGGAGCGCACCAAATAGGCGATGTCTTCCACTGTTATTTTGCCAACGCGTCCAATCTCCATCGCCCTACGTGTCTGCAGGAAAAATTTCAGATTGCCTAGCGAAGTGAATCTATGGTTGGTAAGGCAGCAAACTTCGTCTCAAGCAAGGAAACAGAAAAATTTCCTAGCTATCTTTTCCGGTGATCAGTTACTTGAAGACCACATTTGAAGCCGATGACAACACGGCAAACTATAAGGCACTCAGTGCTCACCGCCAATTCTCCTGATAAACTTATAACTGCTCACCATATCCAGAATGTATTGTATTGCTATCTCCTCAACCATGGCAACCGTCTCTGGTAGAGGATTTTCCACATCGCCAAAGCCATACAACATTGAGCGGACTATAAGTGTAAACAAAAAGATATTTTGCGACTGCAAAATCTTAGATGACTTATCCCAATCATCAGGCACGAAAAAAGGTACTATCTTTCAAAAAGAGATGTCGCCTTTTGTCATTGCCACCACTTGCATCTTGATCGCCATCGACGCCAAAAATCTATCAAAGGGAAAGGACACCGTATATTCGTAAAAAGACCACCGACTTGGGTGACTTAATAGTTCAGAAGAGCCTGCCTATGTTGGCAAATTAAAGGAATTGAAGGAAAAGTAGGAGACTCACATCCGATGGTGGCAACTCAGAATCAGCCATGCTAAAATGGAATGCTACACTTTGTTGGAAGGAATGAGTAAGAGTTTGACCTGGCGACCACATACACAATAAATATTAGTAACAGCATTCTCAGAAGCCCTTTGGCAAGTAAAAGTACATTCCAGGCCTGCATGCACACATGCGATCAGCAGTCACGCAAAGAAGAAGCGATCCAAGAAAAACTAGTCTATTTCATGGAAAATGTAAGCACAGAACTGTACTGAACTTCCATTAGATCAGGTGTACTGATTTCTATCACCATCTGCTGTTTGCCTACTTATGTAAATAAGTAGCGTTAAAGGGCGCACAATTGATGGTCGCCCGACACAGAAGGCAGTCAAAGTCAGTAGGAGGCAGCAGATCCAAATTTTCCTTACCAGGTGTACTATATAGTCAGTTTATTTTGGTCAGAAACGACAGTAAAGTATGATTAGAAAGTATTGGCGTGGCTGATTAGAAGGAAGACGGGATATAGGAAGGAAAGGGAAGAGCCTAGGTTTAGAGCTGCCTAAATAGAAAACAAAAATGTGAATTTTCGCCCTTTTATCAGTCGGTCGATCTGGCGAGGTTTGACAACTAGAGGGATTTGAGGTACCTAAAAGGCAGGGTGATCAGCCTAAAATCCGTAGAAAGTTGATGCAAGCAATCATCTAAAGAAAGCGCACTTAGCAGACCAATCAGGTTTGGAAGAAAGAAAGGGAGCCGACTGCAGTTGTGTGGGGGCTGAGGTCTTTGTCAAGGACTTGGGAGCTCCCTGCTTTTGCATACTAATGCTTTCGCCACCAAAATCGCTACATCCAGAGTTGTCTGCATCTGTGGCATGTGAATCTAAAAAATAAATCAGCCATTGAAGGCTGGATTGCAATTTGACAATGGGTAACTGATGAAAAGTCACTGAGTGTAAAAGTAGAAGACTTACTAAAGGCTCCTGAACATGAAAGACCGCGGGATCCAAAGTTATCAAAAGAAAGGATCGTTTTTTGACAGACCACACCTAGGTTTGATGGCGGTGGTGGTGGTAGAAGTGAACAGGAATTCGCCTCCGAGCTGCGAACTGAGAATCCGCCCGAACAATTGGGTGCTGGCGTTAAACCCGTTACTTGAAAACCAAAAGGTAAAAATAAAGTGTGAAACTAAATGAGGAGAGGAAAAGCAGCAACGAAAAGCAGCAAAAATATGTACTTCCTAATGAGAATTGAGCAAAACATGGCAAAAAACTAACCTCGAACAGCATCAGCAAAGGGACTTTGCCTATTGCCAACAAGTAGATCATTTCGAAGGTTTGTACGTCGTTTTGCCGACTCACCAACTTCTAGGAACCAAGACCACCTGCTCTCCGAAGCTCCCATCATGCCGGTGCCAAAGGAAGCAGCACGAGGGGTTTTAGATACTTTAGATCGACTATCCTTTCCAGCCGCACCTTCAGGTTGAGCATGTAAAGGTCTGAAGAGTATGAAAAAAAGATGCGAACATTTTTATATCAAGGAAGCAATAGAAGGCAACAACTCTTCCATTTCTTGTCAATAAATAGGCATATCAGTTGGACGACCAAGGTGAGCAGTTCATTCTAGATTAATTCTGTTTATGGAAATCACCTTGATTGGCGGATGTGGGGGTTGGTCATCTATACGATCTGCCTTCAAGAGAATTGAGCTACAGATGCCCCTTAAGTAACTCCGCCTTTGGTTATCGCGAGTGGTATCTTTAGCCAGTGACATGACCCACCTGCGTCCATTATGAGGTTACCTATAGTAGCTGCTACATTAAACAAGGAACAAGATAGCGTGAGGGAAGAGACGCACAATATCATACGCTCTAAATCTGGTCTCCGCTTTTGAGCAAATTCGCCCAAACACATTGGTGAACAATATGAACACAGTTGGGAAAGAGGAAAAAACGTCAGGCATAAAGGAATGGACATGATGCACCACGAGTAATGCGTTTGGATATCTTTCCACCTCGGTGAAAACCTTATTCCCACCAATTTGGACTCGAATTTGCAAAATGACTCGGTTATGCGGTGGTTTAATATTTTAACAATAAGAACGTCCCCTGAGTTTAGGAACCTACCATTTTGGTTGACGGACCCTTAACTGCATAGGGGAAATTTGAGTTGGATTGGAAAAGATTAGACCTTTGTGTCTTTATAACTTCTTCGGTGAAATGGCGCCAAAATGGGTGAACTTATTAATTGGACGCTTGTGCGGTACTACTAACTTTATGAAACCATAACAATTCCATCTGTTAAGTAAAAGTATGGTCAAGAAAACTGCATACCCTTCACTGACCTAGGAGGGTGCTCCTCAGTATCACTTTTTGAAACGGTAATTGCTGGCAGCGGCGACTTGGGTTCTGGAGGAGGCACTCGAGAATAATGGTTGTGTGGGATGTGATGATAGCTATGTCCGCGGTCTAAGGTCCCTTGTCGCCGCTGAAATCTACTCTCCTTGCCACCACCGCCAAAAGCGAGTGAATGTCGACCGGAGAATTGGCGAAAAGGAAAAGATCTTGACAACGTTGGCGGCTGAGCTAGGACACGGAAGAACTCCCTCTCCAACTCATCCGCAATGTTGATTTTGGTTGCCGACTTCAAATGACAGTCGGGAGGGCGGGTGTTAGGGACCTCGAGTTCACCAACCTTTTAAAAGTGATCACGATTCAGCCGAAACATAATCAAAGATGATAGCAAACACTCATCATTTGCATTTGCGTCAATTCAAAGGTAAAAATCCAAAGTTGCTCGCTAATTTAAGCAGTTAACGAATTTGGCTTGATTTTGGTAGTGAAGGCCTTCAATAAAATGTACTTTAGAATGAAAATTCCTTCTTTAGTACTTGGCATAGTCAAAATTTCAACCGGCTATTATTTTCAATAGTAAGCATAAGGAAAACACCTTCGGAGATGATTCAGAGACCGGATTAACATGGTAAGATATTGGGCGACTAAAGCTATCACCGTAAAAGGCCCCCAAATCCATGAGCATGTTAACTACAAAAGGGCACCCAATTT